AATTTTTATTATATGATGGGAAAGAGAGTATCGTCTTGAAGGCTGTCCCGCAGCCGTTTTGGCAACTGCGTGCCGCAGTCCAAGCTCCTGTCATAAAAACGTGGTTCGCTTGGAAGGAATGTTTGTGCCGGTGATGCCTACATTGACTAAGGGGTTGATGGTAGTCCCTGGCATGCAAGCTTGGTCGGATCTTTGAAGCTTTCCGGCCTCTCTCCCTGGCGGCAAAACGCGATGAGCCCAAATGAGCCCCAGCACGACTCTGGGTACACCAAAGCCTGACGGTTTCATAGTCCGCTTCATATCTAGTCTACCCGCCTGCCCGAAAATAGGACATAATTTAGGAGACCCTACATGAGCTGCTTGGCTATGTTGGTCGCTGAGCTACACTCGGATTGCCAGCATCCAGCGGACAATGGGTCGTTCCCAAAATCAGCGACACCTTGGACTGTGTTTGTCGGGCTCGTGGGCGAAATCCACTTCGCACCAGCGGTTCACAAAGCCCCATGAACAGAATAAAGCCCCTACTGGTGCAGGAATTGCTGCATCCACAGTTTCAAACCGCAAAGACATCCCGCTGTGAGTCTGTAGTATTCTAGAAAACCTGGCTTGGCCGAAGTCTCTACAAAAAAAATCGGATTGGCCCCTGAATCGACGGCGCGTTCTTCGTCTTTACCAAGACGTGACTACAAACTGCTGTCACTCTGATCTGTGCCATGGGGGCCACCCCTAAAATCCAAGCGCCATTTTGCAGTGGGCGAGTCGGCTCTCAATCCTACCAGTGTTTCAAATGGATTGGACACCCAGGCCGTAGGGGAAACATGACTCCGCCAATCCTGAGCAGCAAGTCAACATGGCCCGCAAAGAACAAGAAATATGTAGCATCTACAAAATGCTAGCATTTTGCAGCACTTGCGTTGTAGAAAAAGGTAGGCTACTACAACATGGGTGTACTACAAAATGTGTGCGCCCAACCTGAGGCTTGGCCCCGCTTTCACATTATAAAAAAAACGGCAAACACATTTACAGGAGGTCAACCTCTCCCCTTCTGTAGGGGCAAACCAAAGAGGGATGCAACAACGCCAGTAGAAGTTGAGTTTGGGCCACAAGCTCACCGGGTGCGAAAGAAGTTGTTTGCCAGAAATATTCACATCCAAAGGGCGGATATCCGAACCTGCTTACGGAGGTTGTCCCTCAGGGCTCTATTGTTTGCCCCGTTAGGCTTAAAAACCCGGGGAAAAGCCCTGGGGCACTCAACCACCGGGTTTAAGTGTACCTCGGGCTCCACAAAATGGAACCCTGAATCCCCACCAAAGTATGTTGTCCAAAGGGTACCCGACAAAAAAATCACATCCATCTCGGGAGCTCTCATCGCTCAGTCCTTGGACCTTTGCCCCTCCATGGAGTTCATCCGATCGCGCGCCCTCGCCTAGCCATGGGCGTGTGTGGTTTTTCATACCTTGTCCACCTTACTTTGAAGGGGAAACCAAGAGGAAAACACACCGTTTTGAAACATACCTGCTTATCTGGGGAGTCCTTGAACCGAAGAATATTGGTCTGGGCAAAACAAATTATATCATTCACCTATCTGACGTAAGGAATCGGTGAGGTCGCTATAACTATGCGGTTGACAAATGGAAGCTTCCGAAAATGCTGACCCTAGGTTTTACACCTTTTGAGGGCCACAAAAGTGGCGTGTTCTTTCAGGGATTGGCACCCACTTTTGAGCAGTTCAGAGGAGCCAACGCTAAAGACTGAGAAACCGCCGCTCCACACATCATTTCTCTTGTATCAGAGGCAAAAGGATTGGGCCGTGTAGCTTTAGGGGGGGCCTTTGAAAGCTGACAAGCTTTTCGTCCCCAAAGTCACCGGTTGAGTTCAGCGACCTACTTTTGGTCTTGATGAGAACCAAGGACCAGACCATCCCCTGAAAAAAATTGGCAACCTCAAGTCTGGTTTGGTTTCGACACGCTTCAAACACCCACCGCCCCACAGCCCCTTCCTCCCGCCTTCCGGGAAAAACCCGAGGTGCTATGCTGGAGCCACAAATTTCAATCGGTGCACGTGTTGCCACCAGCGGACATGCCCTCTTGGCAGGTTCAAGGGAAGCACGGGCAAACATCGAAGTTCCACTTTTGGGAACCCATATACCAAATGGCTCGCAGGCTCAATTCGGTCATCCAGTAGAGAGGATAGAATAGGGGTACCCTTGTTTCTGTAGTCTATTTTAGTACGCAGGCTCAACTACGTCCTCCAGTAGAGAGGTTAGACTAAGGGTACCCTTTTTTCTGTAGTCTATTTTAGTAGGGGAACCCTCCCCCCAAAAAAGGGCGAAAGGGCACTGCTCGGGGACCTAGTCAATCAACCAAAGCGCACCGGAGCATGCTCTCAAAGGATTCCTGATGGCATGGCAAAAACGTCCATGTGCTGCCGCCGTCCAGTGCTTTGTCGCTTGCATCTTAGATTGGAAGCTTCACGTTGTGGGGCAATGAACTGTGTACCTTTGCAACATCCTGTCAATGGCAAATATGGACAAGGGTCCCTGAAACCACCTTCTGGGGCCTCCTGCCATAAATACATTGCTGGCGCCCTATATCTTCCAGCTCAAAATGCTCATTAGTGTTCTTTGGGTGAAGTCGTATTACCATGATTCCCTCTTCACCAGCCTTCATTATAGAAACCTTCCATTACATATGGGGAATCCCCGAAGTAACCATTGCTTAAATGAGGTCGCTTGCCCTCCCGGTAAGACCGCTCCAATTCGCGCGAGGTCAGAAAACAAGGCCGCTCCTGCACCTGGCCTTGAGGAAAAGGGGCCCCTGTCCGTTCTTGAGCAAGAGAGAGAGAGAGAGAGAGAGCGAGATGCCTGGATCGCCAGTTTCCTTTTGTTCTTCTTCTGTTGTTGTTGTGTTTTTTTTTTCCCGTGCATTTTTACCCCCAAAGACCAGCAACAGTGACTGAAAGAAACAGCAACTTCGCTATCTAGTTGTTTCTTTTCCTCTGCCAGACGTCCGCTTCCGCGTCTTCCGCGGGGGCCGGCCCAATCCGCGAAGGCGCCTTGCCCAATCCGCCGAGGCATGGGTAACCCCGCGCTCCCCCGCTTTCAACTTTTCCCCCCTGTGCCTCTCAGATTCCCACCAAGACTTGAGAAAAGGCCCAACAAGGTTCTCCCATAAAACCCTACTCAATCATCCTTTGGGCATCCCTAAAACTTTCCGATGAAAGGTACCCCTGCAGTCCCCAGGCTAAAAAACCTGCCAGAAAAGGAGCGTTCCTTGTTGCCTAGTATTTGCTTAGTCTGCGCTCAAACCCACCAATACTTCTAGGGGTTGATTCCCCATTCTAAACAACCCTCGTTCTTTTCAGAAACCAGCTGCACCCCCATATTCCTAAACAGGGGTTCATGCATCCGGGGTCAACATTAAGCAAATGGAGGTGTTCGAAGGAGCCCCGCCCAAAACAAAATTACTCGACTTCAAATTCAGCAGCTGGTTGGTAAAGCAGGTCGCCCAGCCCTGCAACCCGCACTGCCCGCAACCCGACATGCAACTTCCATTTGCGAATACGCGCCTTGGAAAAAACACGTACATTTCCAGTAGGACCAATACCCTTTAAAGCCAAAAAGGGGAAGAACATATTATTCGGGTTTCAGCCAGCAAGTAGCCGGCTGTCAAACAAGCAGTCATGAGTCATGCCTGTGATGCAGCACGAAGCACAATCGGACCAGTAAGCCCTCCCGTCCGAAAGCCAGCATCCTTGTTCGGACTTTCTGCCCCGCGGAGCATGAAGAAAATCCAAATAATTTGAACCAGACCCCAAATAAAGGGAATCCTGACACACTTTAGCCAACAAGTCGTCATTTCATGAACAGGATTGCCTTGATTTGCCACTCACACACTCGCAAATTCCTCGTTCGCCAACATCAATGTAAAGACACTGCAGCAATTCTTTGGGTAAGAGCAAACTAGTCACTGGAACTGGAAAATTCCCCTGTCCGCCCTCTTGCCTAGCCCGGCCACGTGGTTGGAAGGTCAGTTGTCGCCGTCTCCCCAGACGCGACAAAGTTGCCTTCGGGGCGCAAGGAATTGCTCCATAACACAGCTCATATGGGGGGGGGTCGGCAAAATGGACCCTTGCTTCGGTGGTTTGAAGGGAAGCCAAAGGGAAACAAGCAATTTTTAGCCCCCCCCTATTTTGACGCATACGCATATGCAAGCATTGCTTTCATTTTGTTTTATCCGCAACGTCCAGAACTTCTGCATCCTGGTACCAGCTCATATCTCATCCGGCAAAAACAACAAGAACAACACTGATGGATTAACGACACGACAACAACACAACAAGACAAAGAGCAACGCGAGGAACGAAGCTAAAGCGGCAATGCTTCTGTTCTTTGTGCTGCTGATGCTGCTGCTTCTGCCTCTACCTCTACCACTACCACTACCACTACCACTATCAATACGATTACCACTACAAACTGCTAACTGCTGACTACTGCCAACTACTGCTAACTACTGCTTGCGTCTGCTTATGGCTGCTTACTTGTGCTTACTACTGACTACTACTTCTTGCTACCGCTTGCTCCCGCTTACTACTGCTTACTGCTGCTTGCTACTGCTACTCTGCTATGCTACTGCTACTGCTACTGAGCCTACTCCTACTCCTCCCTAATGCTGCTGCTGCTACTACTACTACTCCTCCTCCTCCTCCTCGTACTACTACTACTATTACTACTCTCCTCGTCCTCCTCCTCCTACTACTACTACTACTACCATTACCTCTGCGTCTACTTCGACTTCTACTTTTACCACAGAAGCACCACCAGCACCAGCACCAGCACACCAATCAACTTGCTAAGGGCAAAGTGTCTTACTTTCATGACATGGCTGTGGGTCAACAACAGGTACCCAAAATGGAGCCTTGGTCCCATTCCACATTGCAGCTGCCCAAACTCAACGCAACCAGCGCGGAAAGCAAAGCAACTCCATCTGGCCTGCGGCAGCTCAAAGCTGCAGTGGCGGGGCCAACTCTGCAAAATGCACCCCGGCCTCGCTTGTGAGTTCGATCCAAGGATGTGTTCATGACGAGACTACACCATGCTTGTGATTCCCGGTCAAAGTGCCATTGAGAACCAGTTCGCTTCCACATTGTTCAACATTGCCAAAACACACGCTTGTCACAACCAAGCTGGACTTGTGAGAAACGAGCGCGCTTAGGGTTGAGGGATTCTCGGGTTTTTCTGGGTTTAGGTTCAGGGTTTTTAGGGTTTGGATTTAGGGTTGCTTAGGTTTGATTTGTTTGGGGGTTAGGGTTTTCAGGGTTTAGGTTTCGGGTTCTGAGGTGTAGGTTTTTAGGGTTTAGGTGTAGGGTTTGTAGGGTTTTGGTTTAGGTTTTGAGGGCTTAAGTTTAGAGTTGTTTAGGTTTTTGGGGTTTTGGAATTTTAGGGTTTAGGCTTCGGGTTTTCAGGGAGTATATGTTTAGGCTTTAGGTGTAGGGTTTGTAGGGTTTAGGTTCAGGGTTTAGGTTTCGGGTTATTGGGGTTTAAGTTTTTAGGGTCGGTTTTTAGGGCATAAGTCTTGGGGTTTTAGGGTTTGATTTTTCTAGGGTTGAGGGGTTCGGGTTTCTAGGGTTTAGGTTTCGGATTTTTAGGGTTTAGGGATTCTAGGGTTTAGGTTTAGGGCTTCGGGTCGAAAATAGACAGGTTTTAGACAATTCACTAGGCAGTTCCGCTCCCAAACATCGCGAAAAGTGGCAAAAAACCCCAAGGCAGCGAAGAAAACAGGGATCCCTGAGTGGGTGGACGGACGGACGGACGGACGCATGGATGGATGGATGGATGTTCAAAATACCGAGAAACAAAATGAAACATGACTCGTGAGAAATGAGTAGGAATGACTCATGAGAAACGAGGGAATTCGACTTGCGAGAATTAGTGCGCTTCAGCCTCCACTACCCCCACGCCAACATGAATCATGCTCGGCGATACTAGGTCCCAGGCCATTTCCCAGATGAATGCAGGGATCGTCCCATGTCCCGTCGCCCAGCGAGGGCAAAAAGCGACACTTGTTGTTTGGTCAGAAGGCCATGGGTCAAAATCCCGTACCCTCAGTGAACATCCCAATCCCCACTAAAATAGACTAAAATGGGTGGTGCACCTACCCCAAAACGGTACCATTGGTTTTGACCCACAGCCAATTCAAGGAAGGGAAAATGGGCTTCAAGCGGGCACACAAAAGTTCAACCGATGCTCGGAACTTGCGAGAGGCCTCGCCCACAGAGATCTGCACCGGTGCTTCCTGCCGGCAGTACCGGGCCCTTTGCCATTTTCGGGACCTACGCTTCCTAGGTCCTCCAAAAGAGAGGTTAGACCTAGGTCCTCCAGTAGAGAGGTTAGACTAATTATGTTGGCTATTTTAGTAGGGGAACCCTCCCCCAAATAAGGGTAAAAGGGCACTACTGGGGGACCTACGCTTCTAGTGGGAAGTGCATTTTGCCAAGGCAGACCACGCCTAAAACAACCGAGAGAAAACCAGCATAGCAGCGACTCTGGACTTCCTAAACACAACTTGGAGTGTGAAGCGCTAAGGATTGGGTTGGGTTCGTTTGCCGCGTAACGGTGAAACGTCACAGCTGATCCTTGATCGTGTCAATTCTTTGGATACCAGCAGGATGCTGCTGGTCCCACAAAGTCTATATGATGAGCAATTGCAAACAGCGCTTTGATGGAAGCAGCAGAGGTAAGACAACCGGTCCTTAGCGCTCCAGGCTGACTCTAAACCGAAAGGCATCATGCGCAGAAACCCGAAAATGGAAGCAGGGGAATTGAGCAGGACCACTGTGAGCAGTGCCCCTCCAGAAAAATGATCATTCTGGCTTCTATGGCACGTATTTTTACTATTGTCCTCTCCCAGTGATGAAATTCCTCCCTATTCATCCTGGGTTCCCATTGCAGCCTCTCGCCTCGCTTGTTTCTGTCCGAATGGGCTTCCAGGATATGGCGGCCGAAGCGAGGTTGCCACTCCGAAGCTACCTGCAGATTGGGATGTACAACTAGCCAACTTTTTTTAGAGTACCCCTCGTTTCCCTGGGCGGTTTTTGGATGGACACCATCTTGAAAGGTGCTGTCTATGATTCGCACTGACACAAGTGACGCACAAGTGCGAAGCCTTCAATTTGGGTGATGTGGGAAACTGAATATTCTTGTAGGGTTCGCCATAGTTCGCCCAAATGCTGATTTGAGTTGGTGGCCCCTTTTCTGATGCAGTTTTCATGTCTAAGCTGAAACCACCAAGGAGATCGAAGCACCCTCCAAAAGGGGTTCCATACCCAAACCTTCGAGGTGCGCGCCTGACTCAGCGGGCCTGCGCGTCGCGTTCTGGGGTGTTTTTGGGGGTACCCCCCCCTTTTGGACCCTCTTGGTTTTGGAACCGGTTCCCTTGCCTGCCTTTACCCATGAGGAGTTCTTTGAAACGGAAATTCTTGAGGGTCCATAAGTGAGTTTCTAAACACGACAACCCCCTGACCCTAACCATTTTTTCAGGAAACGAGGAACCTTTGGGGTTGTAAGGAACCAAGAAATCCGCTGAACTGGGCACACACTCTGCCATGGGCCCGCTTCGGATTGGAAAGACTTTGGGAAGCTTCCCATAAAAAAAATGTGCACCATATGAATCAGGGGGGTGCCAACTGTTTGTGGGGGAACACATATCCATCAGGGGTGGCTCCAATTGCTTGCAGTTGTTTCTGTTCTCCCTGTGAACCAACTCTCATTCACATGGCCTGTAAATGTCGATTCCGACGACCCTTGGTGGATATTATTGACACGGGCGGCATGTGTCCACCCACCACTTGAGGTTGTTGTCCTATTGGCATGCATAGCCTAGCCACGAGTCACGCGCCCCGGACAAAATGTGCATGTGTTGCTTCAAGAAGACATGGGAAAATTGGGCTGGGCCCCGCTGCATCACTTTAGAGCAAGGTTACTTTTGGGTGCCCCCATGTCCTCAAAAAACAACCAAGTCTACGGTTAAGGCGGTCAATTGCTGGCTACGGTTCATGCGGTCAATTGCTCGGTGGTAGACAATACATCTAATACAAACCAACCCCACGGCCCTATGACCCAATTCAAACTCCCAACATAAGAGAATCTCCAAGGAGGGCACCTTGGGCTGGTTTTATACCAAAATGGAACCCTGGTAAGTGGAAACATGGACCAAAACCTGCGGTTTGCCCCTCCTGCTTCATTTTGAGCCAAACCCAGGTCGTTAACTATACCAGCCGCAGGTAAACAGGTGGTTCACCAAGGCAAAGAACCGACTAGGGCACGCAACAGACATGTATGGCTCCCAGACTAGGAATCATTACAACGGTCACTAAGGATCCCACCAGGTGGATGACCATCCCTGTCAACCCCAAGTAAACACCCCCAATTCCATTGACTCTTGTTCTACCATGCTAATTGTTTTTTTGGTTCAACCCCTTTGTGTAGAAGCCCGTACCAATGGCCCGGCTCTGGGGTACACCAAAAATCCAACTAGCTCATTGGTTCCAGGTATTCAACCTACAACCTATTTCCTTTTTTCGCCCAGTAAGAGTCTGCATAGAACTCACGTCTCACATTTCTCTTGAAACCTCCAAATGAGGTGTGCTTCCTTTTGTTAAGGCTCGCCCTTTCCAGGCGTCTAGTGTTTGTGTTGGCAAATTAAAGGGATGCCAGTCCGTCGCGCCAAAAAATGAAAGGGAAACAACCCCAGGAACACAAAAAAAAAAACACACACACAGAGCTTTCTCCGCCACTGGTTGCTGCTTTCCGTTTTTCTTGGGGGGTTCCCCCCTCAAAGCGGTCCACGCCCCCGGCCGCTGGCCTCGCTTCCGGGCGCAGGGCCGCAGCTCGGTTTCTCGTAGCTCGAGGCGCCGGGCGGCGCCCTGGGACCTCGGTTCGTATGCGCGGATCCAAGAGATCCTCACAACTTTGGACGTGGTTTATGGGTGAGAAAAGGATCTATATCTATCTATCTATCTATCTATCTATCTATCTATCTATCTATCTGTGTGTCTGTGTGTCTATCTATCTATCTATCTATCTGTCTGTCTATCTATCTATCTATCTGTCTGTCTATCTATCTGTCTATCTATCTGTCAATCTATCTATCTATCTATCTATCTATCTGTGTGTCTGTGTGTCTATCTATCTATCTATCTGTCTGTCTATCTATCTATCTATCTATCTATCTGTCTGTCTATCTATCTATCTATCTGTCTGTCTGTCTATCTATCTATCTATCTATCTGTCTGTCTGTCTATCTATCTATCTATCTGTGTGTCTGTGTGTCTATCTATCTATCTATCTATCTGTCTGTCTATCTATCTATCTATCTGTCTGTCTGTCTATCTATCTATCTATCTGTCAAGCTATCTATCTATCTATCTATCTATCTGTGTGTCTGTGTGTCTATCTATCTATCGATCTATCTGTCTGTCTATCTATCTATCTATCTGTGTGTCTGTGTGTCTATCTATCTATCTATCTATCTGTCTGTCTGTCTATCTATCTATCTATCTGTCTGTCTGTCTATCTATCTATCTATCTATATATCTGTCAATCTATCTATCTATCTATCTATCTATCTGTCTGTCTGTGTGTCTATCTATCTATCTATCTATCTGTCTGTCTATCTATCTATCTATCTATCTATCTGTCAATCTATCTAGCTATCTATCTATCTATCTGTGTGTCTGTGTGTCTATCTATCTATCTATCTGTCTGTCTATCTATCTATCTATCTATCTGTCTATCTATCTATCTATCTATCTGTCTGTCTGTCTATCTATCTATCTATCTGTCTGTCTGTCTATCTATCTATCTATCTATATATCTGTCAATCTATCTATCTATCTATCTATCTATCTGTCTGTCTGTGTGTCTATCTATCTATCTATCTATCTGTCTGTCTATCTATCTATCTATCTATCTATCTGTCAATCTA